AGGCTTTGTTTAAGTCCGTGAAGTTGATGCACACTCTCTATTTCCCATTCTTTTTCTTTACGACCACGACGTTCGCTAGCCATTTGGGGTAGTGGACCTCTTTGATCATACCATTGCTCAAGAGCTTCTCGACCTCTTCGTTGACAATTCGGTTACGCTCTAGTGCGAATTTCCTTCTCTTTTGTTTCACTGGTGGGTGATCTGGGTTTATCCTGAGCTGGTGGACCATTGCTTTCGGACTGACTTCGGTCATGTTGGCGTGGGACTAGGTGAAACAGTCTTGGTTCTGTTCGAGGAATTCTATCAGCTTCTCTCTTGTCTCGGGCTTAAGGCAGGACCCTATGTGTGTCTTTCTCTCGAGGTCATCCGGATGTATCTGTACTTCATCCAACTCTTCCATAGATGGTTGATCCGACTCGGTCGGTGGGGTTGGATGAGACTGTAATTGCTATGAAGAGTTACCCTTGCCTTTGAAGGCATTCTTGTAGCAATCTTTGGAAGTCTTCGGGTCGCCCTTGATCTCTCGTACCCTTCACTTGGTTGGAAACCTGATCGTCTGGTGAAAGGTAGATGAGACTGCCTGCATGTCGTGGATCCAAGGTCGGCCCAAGATGACGTTGTACGGTGAGGGGTAGTTGATTACCAGAAAAATGCTCTGTTTGTTCATTTCGTCGACGAAGATAGGGAGGATGATCTCCCCGATAGTATACTTCTGCTCTAAGCTAAAACCAACTAGCAGCGTCGGCCGCCTGTTGATGTTTGCCTCTTCCAGTCCCATAGCCTTCACTGCTTCGAGGAATAGGACGTTTGCTGAAGAGCCTCCGTCTACGAATACTCTTTTCACTAGGATGTTGGCGATCTGTAGGGAGACGACTAATGCATCGTGATGAGGAGCGGCCAAGGTAACCGGCTCGTCATCTTCAAATTGAATTACCTGATGGGTGTGTGACCATGAGATCGGATGGATGGACTGGACTTCATGGTGGTGGTTGGCTCTGGCATATCGCTTGGCTGATGAGTAACTTACTGCACTGATCTCTGATCCTCTAGAGATGAGCGAACAGAATCCTTTTGGCGTAGGTTCTCGCGGAGGTGGTGATGGTTCTTTTGAACTTTTATGGCTAATGGTGTTTTTCCCCTTATCGGTTAGCAGATCCCAAAGATGTCCCCTCTTTAGAAGTGCAGCGACCTCTAGCCGCAAGGCGATGCAGTCTGTGGTGTTGTGCCCATGATCGCTGTGGAACTCGCACCATTTGGTCTTGTCTCTCCTTGCCTCGAGATTGAGCTTGCCTGGCCACTTAACAGTGGATCCCATTTCCTTCATAATCGCGACGACCTGGGTTGGTTCGACATTAAGGCTGTATTCTAGTATTTTGTACCGGTTCGATCTGAATTGTCTGCTCTCGGTTCTCGTTAGCTGGCGATCGTACGGTTTCCTGACTTTGCTCAAATTATGTGCTAGGGGTTGGTAGCGGTGCTCCGCTGGCCTGTGCTCGGGCTTCCTGTCATTCCGCCTTGAATCGTAGCTGGAGTGAATCGTCCGGTTTATCTCATCCTCCTCCCATCTTATCTGGATCACTGCCCGAGCCAGGGTGTCTTCCATTATGGTGCAACCCAGCTTTGTAAGCTCTTTGTATAGTTCTCCGTCCGGGAGGAGACCCTTTCTGAAGGCATCCACGACTGTCTCAAGATTACATGCAGGGATGGAGATCTTCTCTTTGTTGAACCTGCTGACATACTCTCTCAGTGGCTCGCCCCTTCTCTGGTATACTCTATATAGGTCAGCCGACAGCTTCTCAAGTTTCTTGCTGCTGGCGAACTGTTCCACAAAGGTGTCGGTGAGTTGGGCGAATGAGTCGATGGATCCATTCGGGAGATTCGTGTACCATTAGAGTGCCGAGCCAGATAAGCTCGAACCAAAACTTTTGCACATGCCGGCTTCCCTCAGTAGTCGGGGTATTGAGACGGTGAACATCTGCTGCTTGTACGAGGCATGTCGGCTAGGGCGATCTCATCTACAAAGGGTGAATCCGCGTAACAATGGGGCCTGCTCTTCTTGGTTGGGACCGACATTCCTGGGATGTGTCTCATCACTGCTTCCACATCGGCCAATCTCTTGGCTAGTACCTGTTCCATAGGAGAAGGGGATGCCACTAGGTCATCCCGCTTGACCGCATCGGCCTTTGCAATTGTCTTCGGCACATTCCGTTGGACCGTCTCGCGCGGTGTGATTTGGTGATTCATTGCTTCGTGCACACCTTGATCTTCATTCATTCCTTCTGATTGGATGACTCCCATGGTAACAGTTCTGGTGTTTCGCCCTACATGAATGGTCAGTGGAGTCGTCTGGTATGTCACTCGGTCCATCAGGATGGATGGGCTCGAGTGTTGTGGTTTGTTGGGTTTGGCCGTTCAACCCGTGGGGGTGAGCTGAGTCGAATGGGGAATGTGTTGGGAAGGTTGACTGGAGGTAAGGTGGGACGGTAAGAATGGGTTGGTCTTGCGGGTTAGGGCTTTCTGTCACTGGACTATCTTGATCTTAAGGCTTGGATGGGTCGGCTGAATAGTGTTCTGTTGGCGTATCTTTACCTTCATGTGTCAGGACAGAATCATCGACCGTTGATGAGTTTAACGGATGCGGCCTTTTGCCAGAGACCGAGGGTCGGTGCTCTGGTGTATGGAGAGGTTGCATGGATGGAACAGGGGCGCAAAACCGATTGAGGGGTGCCTGGCCAGGTAGGAACTCTAGATCATAGAATTGACTCACCTTCTGCTTAAGAGACTGGTTTTCTGCCTTGTTGGATGTGTTTTCGGTCCGGATTGCATTGTTCTTGGCTTCCAGTGTGGCTACCTTGTCCGAGTTCTGTTGCATAAGAGTGGTCAGAGCCTCCAGTTTGGCCTCGAGGCCGGGATTAGTGTTGTCGGAGTTGTCAGCCATGGAAAGTTCCTCTACATAGCAAGGTTCGTCGAGCCGAATGATTGCTAGAGGCCCCACGGTGGGTGCCAAACTATAGACGTAAAAATCTACCTGTACGGAAGGGGGGTCTGATCCCGTGAGGTTGAGGCCACTAGCGATCCGCTGCACCTGCACACGTAGAGAAACAAACGTGTGAAGCGAACGGGAAACACCGGGGTGGTGTTTGCCGTAGGCACACCGACGCTCAAGTCAGCAAGACCGAAAGAGGCTAGTATAGTGAGGGCTAGGGAATAGAGAGGTTACCAGAAGTCTGGTTGGAGACTGTGACTACGGCAGTGATGTGAAGCTCTCAAGTAGGAGCTTCGGGTGTGAAGGTGTAATGTCAATGTCTTTTGTGAGAGGGCTGGCCTCTGTTTATATAGCGACTGTCTGGTCTCCTAATCTTGGTGGGAGTAGGAGTCCTAGTGTGACTCTGATGCAAACCCTAGAAAAGTTAGGACGGTGGTGAGCTGTCTTACCTGCATCCGAATAGGAAGGTGATCTGAACAGGAAAACCAATCCGAATAGGAGATTGATCAGGAACAGGAACGTGATTAGTAGGGGTCGTGGGCTCTAAACTCGCCTATAGGCCCAGGAAGTGAACTGGAACTAGGAGGCCCGTGCCCAGATGGTTTGGGCAGGCTGTATCTCGTATCAAAAGGGACTAATCTGGCTTGGGCCTCTTTGGGATTGGGCCTGGTCTCTTCTTCGCTAGTGGTCATGTTTTCCTATTTGAGACAAGGACGATTTTTGGCCCTAACAGGTTAATAATCCAAAAATTGTTGAGGTAATTCAAGACCTTGTACTTTAAGTATTTAAGCTTCATTATATATATATGTTATGAGGTTGTGGCAACCTTTAAACAAAAATGTGATTAATCTCCACAAAAGTTGAAGCCATTATCAAAAAGTTTGTTTCCTTTTACTGTTTAATATAAATTCAACCGATTTATCTTGCATTTCATTCACAGATAGCCTTCCTTATCCATATGCAATTGTATTCTCAACCAAAGGTTCATTGCCAGTAGTATCAACTTTGATTTATGGGGACCCAATGACCATAATGAGAATATGGAGCAACGTTACTTTTTCAATATTCATAAATAAAATTAAAACTCCTCATTTTGATATAGCCAATAAGTTACGAAAATTTGTGTGGTAAAGTAGAGAATCTATGCCAATTTATGTATGCTAACTGTAAGAAGAATAGTGTCTCCCTATACCTTATTAGTTATAACACATTAGAATGTCCATTAATATTAACTTGAATATGCCCTTTTTTTTTTCTTTTTTAAAATAAGAAAGAAAGAAAAAAGAGAGATAGAATACATAATTATAGATACTTGAAAAATGGTTGGCCTACTTTAATTGATTGTATTTTTGTTTAAATGAAATGCAATTATTTATTATAACCACCAGAGAAAAAGAGTTTTTATGAGTTTGAGTCCTCTCAGACACTAGTGATTATTGGAGCTTTTATAGGCAATTTCACTGCTTGAGGGATTAATTGAGATGCACGCAAGTTAGTTCGAATACCCTGATGATTAAAAAAAAAAATTTCCAATCATCAAATTCAAATATAGCCCATGTTATGTACATACAACCTGCTTCACAATATGCATTATCGTTAACATGTCATGTCTTCCATGTTCTCTTTCATTGTTCATATTCACATTATATATATTTGAAAAAAGAAAAAGAAAATTGAAATCTTTTGCATCCTCAATACATTCATAGTCATAGACGCGTTTTTGCAACATCGAATGTGCTCCAATTTGATGGCACTAACAATGGTCTCTTTCTTTTACCATATTTGGCTTCTCGTTGTCCTATTCTCCCCTTGGTTGGCAATACACGATGATGTTTAATTGTTTATGACATATATTCGTTTGAAAGCGAGAGTAGCGGCGCACCATCAATTAACAAAACCAACGCGTGGTCTTGCAGGCACTTGTTTCCTAGGAACTTTGTCTTTGACAACTATTTATATCACCCCCGTATTCATCTTCGATTTTAGGGTCATACAACTTCACTTTGTTTGAATCATGGCATCTTTTCATTCCTCTCACGGTCTTCTTCTAATTGTTGTATTAATTTCTTCACTTCAGTTTAACTTGAAAGCGGAACCAGTAAAAGAATTGTTTCCGTACCATGGTGGTCCTCTACTTTCCGGGAATATCCCCATTAATCTGATTTGGTATGGACAGTTCAGTCTCGCTCAGCGTGCAATTGTCTCAGACTTCATTGCCTCTCTTTCAAAACCCACAGCGGAGCAGCCCTCTGTTGCGTCATGGATGAATTTGACGGCTAAATTCTACCAGGTTACCACAATTCCTGATTCACTTGTTCTTTCACTAGGTAAAGAAGTCCTTGATGAGAATTACTCTCAAGGAAAATCGCTCACTAGCGCCCAGCTTTACGAGTTGGCCAAAAAGGGTGGGGAAGACAATCTGATCAATGTGCTTTTGACATCAGCAGATGTAACGGTTGAAGGGTTTTGCCAGGGTCGATGTGGTACTCATGCCTTGGGTACAGGACCCATGCATGGTAACACCAACAGTAAATTTAATTACATTTGGGTTGGAAATTCAGAGATTCAGTGTCCAGGTCTATGCGCATGGCCATTCCACGAGTCAATAAATGGACCAAAGACTCCCCCCTTAAAGGCACCCAACAGTGATATTGGTCTTGATGGTATGGTGATCAACGTGGCTAGCCTTTTGGCTGGGACTGTTACCAACCCTTTTGGAAACGGCTTCTTCCAGGGGCCCCAAGAAGCACCCCTGGAGGCATCCACCGCTTGTCCTGGAGTTTTCGGAAAAGGGGCTTACCCTGGATTTGCAGGAACCTTGCTCGTTGACTCTAAAACTGGTGCGAGCTACAATGCCAATGGTATCAATGGAAAAAAGTATTTGCTTCCTGCTATGATGGACCCTGAAACTTCAACTTGTACCACCCTAGTTTGAGAGATCAGATGACATGCACCTGTATATAACTAACTATACACCATACTCTTTCATTAGTCATTACTGTATTCATTTATTCATTTGTATTACATCACACTTTCAAATAATGAATATGGAGATCATTCTTCCTTTCTAATGATTCATTAGTTTTGCTTTTTTTTTTGTGATCAAAATATTATGGGGTTTTCACAGAGATTATTAGTCTGTTTGTTGACATGATATGCAAGGGAGTTGAAGAAACAAAACAAAGCATCAAAACTTTGCGTTCAAAGAATACGAACCCTGGTTCAAATTGTCAATCGGTTTAACAAATATAAATTAATTTGACAGAAAATAAATAAAATAATGAAATTATATTAACCTAATAATCGTAATAAATAATTTGATAATAAAATAAATCCCATTTCCTTAACTGATTGCTTTTGACAGGAATTGATAACTTTCTTCATAGTTCAGAGCAACTAAGAACAAGTTGTCACAGATTTTTACGGTTGATAACAAAAGGTTATGCTTCTTGAGAGTTGATCTCCTGTTGAGGAACGGTATTTTTCAAGTACTGTATGTAACCAAGTATTACCCTTGTCGATCTTTAAAGGAAGAACTAAGATAATGTAGTTGACATTTACAAATGCTTAAAAGCAAGCTATTGGAAGAACTACCAATGCAGCAGAACTAAGTCACTAACAACTAAAAAAATTAGAATAAATACTATATATAAAATTAATCATTCAAACTTATGTAATAACATTATATCTTGATAAATTCATTCACTTTAATTTATTTCATTATCTTTAATTTTAAATCATCCAATCTAATTGTAGCACATTAATCTGTATAAGCAAGTTTGTAAAATGAATCTGTACACGTATTATTCCTAAAAAAAACAATAAAAAATATTCATTTTCATTATCATGTCAAATTTTATCAAAATTTTGGACAAGAAATTCCTATAACTTCAGTGTCCGTGAATTGAGAGATCGGGAAATATGGAAATTATTGCTCTAAGAACTTTAGTAAAGAAACAACCTCGTGGAGGAAAAACCAATCACAGTGAGTATTATATATGTTTTCCGACCTTTTAATGCATTTGTAACATACAGTTAACTTATTTTCTTACTGTTGATATGAAAACTCTTACCAACCAGTGAGATCTAATTAATCTAGATGGAATCAAAACCGATGTGTGTGTGATTTAATGAAAATCAGCAATGCAATATGAAAGTGCGTCAAAGTAAAGAACACAAACGAATTTTTAAGTGGTTCGGCAAGTAAGAACTTAAACATACATCCACTGTTCTCTTGTTACTATGAGAACTTACAAGAGATTATATGAAAGTGTCTATACTTGTTGATGCTTGATTTTGACACCAACTACTCGCACGTGTAAAATGCTAAAAAGACTTAGAAATCACACGTGATATGAGGGGATTGAATTAAATAAATGGTGAAGAGCAATATTTAAAGTGGTTCGGATGCTCAAAAGCGAATCCTACGTCCACTGCTATTGTATTAATAAGAGAGAGAGGTCAGTCGCGTTTAGTGACCTGAGTTACAGTTTAGAGAGAGAGAGAGAGCTATTTCAGCGTAAAATTAGTAATCCCCCCAAATGAGAGGGAAGTCCTCTATTTATAGTGGGAGAGTTCAAGGTAATGATTATAAAAGCTGCAAGTGGGTAGGTGCCGTGCAAATCTTTTCTTTGCATCCCATTGGTCACCTGCCCGAGGGATTTCCTCGACTAAAGCAGGGCTTTGACACATGGGCGATCTCCAATTGCTTGCTGGCCTGGCATCCACCTGTTGCACTGACAGGAGCCATTCCACTTGCGTTAGGCGCGACGTGGCCGCACCTAGACGGCATAGAACCCTTCTGAGCTCTGACCATCCTTTACTGACAAGGCTCCATGTCAACCCTACTCTTTCAGGCATAACAGAAGTCCCCGAGTTTTTAAGGTTTAAGGATCGAACCTTGAGAACTTCATAATTATGTCATGATTTGACATATCCCAAATGACACCTGGTCAAGCCGACCTAGCTACAAAGAGGTCGCAGAATAGTTTTCTATGAGCAACTTAAGATAGTCTTCTTTCGCAAAGTCGACGACCTGGATTAGACCCTACTCAGTGCCGTATCGATGTGCCTCTTATCTTAACCGAGGTCCGCAACCTGATTACACTTAGCATATTTTTGCTGGAGGCAAGGAATCACATCACTCTGCAACTGACATCCGACGAAGAGTGTTCTATTCCAACGACTTCTTCAGATGTTATCCATTGCGCTTGACAGCTAATCCATTAATGAAGTATCCTTTATTTTGACAAATGTGTCATGTGCACAATAAGTGCCAGCCATGCGCATTAAATGCAAGTTATGCTGAAACGACATTCTTTATCAGGGCATTAATTACGGATGAGAGTGCATTTAATGTGTAGGAGAGAATCGAGTCGTCGCTCGATTATTTCAACGAAGAGAAGCGACAATTGAATTTCTCGAAGTGTGGCGGTTACTCCTTCTCGGCGATTGATGACACGTGGTCTCGACAACGACGATAGACGCATTACGCCCAAACGTCGCTTGGCTTCGGGAAGAGCAATCGCCATTTCTTCCATTATAAAACCCCAGGCTCACCTTAAGTAATGTTACAACACTCATACTTTCAGAAAAAGCAAAAAGCTCTTGCGAGACCAGATTTTCAATCCTTCAAGTTGGTGCGCACTTTCCGTTCATAGTAAGAAGTTCACCCTCCATGGCCAAAAAGTAAGGGAGATCCTTCTATTACTTATCCTTTTTCTGCTTTGAATATAGCTTATTCAGGCGATAATGGTGGGTGTTTATGGCTAGTCTTCTGTAAGGAATAGGTTTTTATGGTACAAATCATTGCGGGCGGTCCCCAAGGACTTTTTAGGGTTTTTGGAAGATACATTAGGGCTTTGTTCTTCCACTTCGTCGTACAAAATTTTGTACGGACACTGAGTAATCTTTGCGTGTCCCCCTTTTTAAAATCGTAAAAGAGATGGACCCTACAACGACTAGAACAAATGAGGGAACGAGCTCGCAGGCGTAGGATGCCCTAACGGGTTCTTCATAAGAGATTCTGTCAGTGGCCACCCCAGAGGAGATATAAAGGGTGCTAGACCAGTACGCACTTAGCGTAGACGTATTTTGGTACAGGTTGTACACAGCTCGAAATCCCCCAAAGGGAATGGTCGCGGTCTCCGAGTCCATTTTCAAATGCAGGGCATTAATTCCTTTCCACCCCTTTATCAGATCGATCCTCGATTACTTCAAGGTCGCACCTCTGTAGCTGATGCCAAACACATATATGATAGCCGTGGCTATGTATATCACGTGCGTCGAGAACGGCCTCGGCCAGCTGACTGCGCTGGAGCTCGCTTGCTCGTATTACTTGAAGAAGGGCAAGGATAAGGATTCTTATTACCTCTCGAAGCGATCTTCGATCGAGGGAGGCATCTTTAATTACCCTAGTAATGTCGGGGCGTATGAGACTAAGTTTTTATTTTTCGTTACAACGGCGTCTGCCAATTCAAGGAACCGAGTAGGTCTTCCCTTTTTGTACTTAGTGAATTTTTTCTTTTCTTTTTGGCTTTGCTTTCTAACGATCTTTCTTGTCTTTTCGTAGGAAACAAGTCAACCAGGTTGACAGATCTCACTGACTTCAACCAAATAGTATCATTCGGTAACCTATCAGATTATTGTCGCGACGCGAAACTGCTCGTAACAACTATAAATTTGAGGAAGTACGGCTTCTTCAATTCAGAAGCGAGCTTGGAAACCTTAACTCGTAAGTGTCCGCAGTCTTAGAAATTTTTTTGCTTTTGCATGTAGCAAATTTTTTACTAACAGTATCTGCATGCAACGAATATGCCACCCAAAGTGCTAAGGTCGTTGAGAGAGAGGGGGTTCATTTTTCCCTAGGTCGATGTGGTGCAACCACGTATCGAACAACCAGCAGAACCTTTTCAGCCTGTGGCTACCCGCCCAAAGTAGAAGACCATGGGCCAAAAGTCCAAGAAAAGAAAGGTGTTGTAGCCTGAGGAGTCAAAGTCCGAACTGGAGGGCTTAGGGATACAGCCTGGGAGGTCACAACCTTATCAGGCTTTTCGCTTGGGAGGGAGCTCGAGGTGCACAACCAGGGTTGCACTAGTCTTGAGCCGTCCACGCAGGGGATAAGGGGAGACCGCGGCTCTCGGGAGGAAAGAAGGCAAAAGGTCGACTAGCGAGGTGCCCTCTGCTTTAAGAGCTGGCACACCGGTGTTGGACTCTATGGGTCAACTTCCGAAACACCTGCAACCGGTGTTCACCCTTTTGGAGTGCCAACTTGCCAAAGTCTTTGAAGAGCTCATGGCCTCCCACCCTGCGGACCTGATGATCAGGGCGATTCAAATGCAAAGCCAGGTAAGACGGTTTGTCCTCGTCGAGGACTTTCCAATACTTACTTTACTCTTTTCAAGGAGATAGAATCTAACGCTTTCTTATTTCACTATGCAGTCTTTGCTCGTCATGCACCTGACCCAACAAAAGATCCAACTGGAAGCTACCGGGGGACTCTTTAAGCTGAAGGAAGAGAACATGCAGATGAAGCACGACTTAGCAACTGTTGTAAAAGAGCTGAGCCTGTCCACCGTTCAGATGAACCAGTACATGTTGGAGAGGAACTTTGCTCTTCGGACGGTGGACTTCCAGAAGACTGAGCAGGAGAAAAGGGGACATGAGCTTAAAGAGCTTTAGAGGACAGTGGCCAGGCTCACTAAAGAGTGTAGCAAGAAAGAACTGGAGCTCTGAGCTAACTCTGAACAGGCCTTACGAGCAGAGGATGAGAGAGCTCAGTTATGGGAGACGACCGAGAAGGCACTTGAAGCGGATCTGGAAATGTCCTAGGGGTGGGCTGCTTCTTTAACTAAAGAGATGAAGCGACAAGAGTGGGATATCGAAAGGAAAGCCGCTGACTGGTCGATTCAGACCATTTATGCCCTTCGACCAAAG